AAAAAAAAAAAAAAAAAAAAAAGTCAATATGTCTTTGATTGTATTAATTATTTTTAAACATCCATCATCTATTTGGATCACACCTTGTATATTAAACACAAAATTGTTCACATGCTATCACTATAGCCAGCCAGGCTTAAGAAGTAACCCGTTACTTCCACCAAATAATGTGATTCTCTAATTCTATTTGGTACTAAAAAAGAAAATTCTTTGCTGACTCAAGCCATTAATTATAACTAAAACTTAGCAAACTAAAACATACTTCTGTTTTTACATTTTTATAGATCTCACAACTAATTCAAAAGGAGCCATAATTCATAAATATAGACTATTTAATATCCTTACACTGGAGCACTGGTAGATGTGAAACCTTTAAGCTGTTCCCATTCTTCCTCTTCCTTTCACCCTACCTGATCCTTGTACTGCTAGCGGGCCCTTTTCCTGAACGTCTCTTTGGATCCTATTTAGGAGACATCTCTTTTCATTACCAGTGGAAGTACAGAACTCTCACAGTTGTAAACGAAGTGCCAGACCGTGAAAACTATGCTCACAAGATAGTCATGGGTGTCTCATGACTGTCAAGTCCCTTTCCTAGGTTTTAATTTACTGTGGTAAAGTAAGTCTAAATGGCTCAAGTCTGAACTCAAAATTTCATGCAAAAATGAAAATAATTCTTATCAGTCTTTAACTCTACTACACTTATTTTCTGAATACAAGTATTACTTTTTATTTTCTGAATGTAAGTATTATCTCTTAGTTTCAGATGACCTCTTAGCAAAATCAAGTATCTAGCAGCTACATACTGTAGTAAAGTCACATTTAAGTCTGTGTTAAGAAAAAGATAAACAAAAAAGCCACCGATCTATGACCTTGTTGATGGTGAATTATTATGATGAAAATGGCTTCTCCTTTCTCCTTGAAATTGAAAATGATAGCCTTCTACTCTTCTCCCCTAAAACATCTGTGCCACAAAAATAAGTGCCTACAGAAGCAGTCATTTTCTTTTTTTTTTTTTGCGGGGGGGTGGTTCTGGTACCAGGAATCAAACTCACTACCTCACGCTTGCCAGGCAGGTGCTGTGCTGCTGAGCTAAATCCCCAGCCCAGAAGTGGTCATTTTCTACCCTGGCATTAGGCACACAAAGTAGCGAAGCAATTCTTGGGCACCATGTTTGAATTGTTCCTCCTAGCATGTGTATGTAGCATACCACTTGCTTGTATTTTGTGAAATCATACTGTAACATTATCTTTTGATTTCATTTTGTGTCCTTGTGTTGTTCAAACACAAACACACACACACACACACACACACAAAACCTTCTTTTAGGGAAAATATAGATTTGAATACTGGCTCTGCCCTATCTCACTGTGTGACTTTGAGGAATAAATTCCTGCATCTCTGCTTTTAGCTTTCTCATCTATAGAATGGAAATCATAACACATTGTTATAAGGAGTACATAACATGAAATATGTAAAAGACTTATGTAATTATTTGCAAATGATGCACAAAATACATTACCTTTTTTTGAGAAATATTATTTTTAAAAATTGCGACTGCCTCACTCAGGAGCTTAAAATTTTTACAGAGTAAATAAAATATATTTCTGTTAAAAGATTACAGTTTATAAACAGTGACCATTTTGAATAGAAGACTCAAAATTAACATATATGTTATATACATCTGGGCTTAAGTACAGTAGTATTAAATATTTCCACTGGCACTACCTCGGGTTTCTGTCATTTACAGACTTTACTGAATCAGGTAAGGATTTTAACTGACACATTTGAGTGAAATGATAAGCTTACTGTTCTGCTACCAAGAACAGATTTTAAATATAATAGTATTACAGCTTATACAAGAGGTATTTAAGCTGGAACAGAAAACCAAGGCCAAGGGAAAAGTCAAAATGATCGATTTTTTAGATATGGGGTTCAAGTGCCTATGCGTAAATCTGATCTGGAGTGTTTAGGAACTGTAATTTTGAGCAAACTGAAGTTCTGTGATCTAGTTTCCTCATTTGTAAAATGGAAACAGTACCCTTACCTTCCTCAAAGGGTTGTGAGGATCCAATGTGATACGGCACATGTGTGCCTCTAACCGTATTTGGAGCATATCAACCACCCCGATGTGAGAGGTGCAATAGAGTTTGCCCAGCAAAAATGGGGAATTCAGTGGAAAGCCTGGGTTAATTCCTAGAAATGCTAGATGGTTTATATTCATATATACATTCTGTGAGGGAGAGGAAAAGCCCCCACGGCTTGAACCTTCAAGACAGGATTTTACAGATTGCTAGATATCAATTCAGTACACGTCATGTGGGTAAAAACTTCAGCTAAATTAAATTATTACATAAACATTTAGTTGGCTTTCCAGCGTAATTACAGGTAGAATTTTCAAGGGCGTGGATCATCTTATAAGATTATCTCTTATTCCTCTTAAGGAATTTTAAATAAGTAAGGATCTTAAAAAAATACAAATTTTTCTCAACAACAAATATGAGGGAAACAAGTAAATGCTCCATTTAAATGTCACAATTTTCAGTGTACAACTTTCATACCACAACTGTGTATTACCTTGTTTTTTTACTATGCTTGGTATGTACTAAAATCATACAAACTTGATAATAAACCCCTTTCCGTCCTCTTTTCCATTTTCTTCCAGTTCTATTTCCACTTTGTACTCACAAGCTGTATGTACATAAATAACCAATTAAGTATAAAAATAGCTCACTTTTAATTTCTCAAGCACAGGAAATATGCTACAGTCCATACCTATTATTAGCAAGCTTTGGCCCCTTTTTCAGCAAATAAGTATCTCATATTTGTACCACTGTAGCAAATATATACTTATATAATATATATTTAATTTCATACTTATTCATAACTTACATATAGCTCATTACTCTTTCTCCTTCCAAAGAGACAACCAATTGAAGATGATATAAAAAGAAAAACTGGATTTATGTGACAACATATAAGCCAAGGCAAGAGAATTTTATACTTTAAAAATCCTTCTTGCTAGCACTGCACAGTGACCCATGCCTATAATCCCAGCTGTTCAAGAAGCTGAGGAAGAAAAATGTCAAGTTTGAAGCCAGCCTGGGCAATACAGCAAAAGGTCTTGTCTGTAAAAAAAATTCCTAATGGAGGTCCACTAGGAACGGACCAACTGTATAAACAGTAATTCCTATTTCATGCAGCAAGTCAAATATGGCTACCAGGGGGCTGGGGATTTAGCTCAGTGACTCGGCGCCTGCCTGGCAAGTGCAAGATCATGAGTTTGATTCCCAGTACCGGAAAAAGAAAAAAGAAAAAAATAAGTAAAATAAAATATATATATATAGCTACCAGAAAAGCAGATTTAAGAGGGTTTCCCCTCACATATAGTATGGATTTCTTTTAAAACTATTAAACTGCTAAAATGGTACAGGGATAATTAGTCCCTTTTCAGTAGTTTGCATACTGCAAATACACCACTCCCTGACTAATTGGAAGTATAAATACCAATTACAAGCAGACTGGCCATGTCAGAACACTTCACTTGCTACTACAAACACATTCTGTTCACTATCCTGAGGGAAATTAAATACATGTGCCGAGCTTCCTATACCTGGCTCCTACAGCTCATCTTCCATCAGTCTCTACCGAAACTGTCTAGAGCAGTGATGGCGAACCTTTCAGAACTTTCAATGACAAAAAAGGCCACTGCAACACATGTGCCACAGGTTCGCCACCACTGCTCTAGAGTCTTTAGCACACATTTCTCTCAGAACTAAAGAGTTCACATCTGAGAATCATAAAATAGAAATTTTTCATTACTATGATAGCCATGGTAACAGTTGATGCATACACTTAAAATCTCTTAATTATAAATTTTAATAATGAAAAGAGGCTTTTCAATTTAAACTTCCTTTCTTCTTTAAATCCATTTAAGATACTGAGTGCCTAAAGGACATTACTATAGTTACACCAGCAGCTCCATTACTAATTCACCTTACCTACCACTGTTCCCTGAAATCAAAACTGCTTCCCATTAAAAATAAACTTAAAAAAGCAGACCTTCCCAAAGCCTCTTCCAAACTGGTGATGACTGCTCGCAGCTGACTCTGACTGTCTGCTTCAAGAGGCAGGCCCCGGCGAGAGGACTCAGGGACGGGCGGGAGCAGCCGAGCCTCGCTGGAGTGGCCTAACAAGCAGACAGTTGCCACAGTTTGAAATTCTGCTGCACAGCTTGCTGCCGCCCAGGATCGTTGCTGGTCAATATTTTCAGGCCCAGTTAATTTTAAATTGGGGACCCTGGGGAGGATTTATTACTCAAAGGAAGATGGGCACCCAGGTGTGTCATTTCAAAACACAACAAGAACTTGTTCCTGGATAGGTAGGTGTAAGATGCAGCCCATGTAGACAACTACGGGAGGAGGAGACAGGAAATATGTTTGAAACCAACACTTACCAGGAAGAAAGGTTAGTAGGGAGACAGATGAAATGGATTAGTCTTAAAACTCTTCAGGATACCAAAATCATGTAGTGGATCAGAACTTACCCTAACGGGCGTACAATTCATTTCCTAAGCAACAGTAGCCAGTAAGAATGAAACAAGCAAATAGTATCTGAGACGTTATCAGTAAAAAATTCCAGGATTAGTTACTCTTATCTGTTTGTCATGCATTTATCCAAGCTTTAGGGGAAATAATTCACTTACCAATTGCTGTTAAAATAAATAAAAGTGTGGAAACACCTGATGTTCCATAAAACATGGTGCTGATATTGTAAGCCAGGAGATCTGTGTTATTCTGTGTGTTGGGCACTAAAACAGGCGGTAGCAAAAAGCCAACTGCAGTTCCGAGCTGTAAAATAAATAGTCCTGTTAATAGCTATCATCATTAGCGAAAAACAATAAACACTGGTACTTCCTAGAACGTAAGAAGGACAAACTAGTGTTTAGTGCTTATGAACCCTGTTCAAATGTCTTTGTTACTAGTGTATGGTTGAAAGGGAACTGCTGACAAATCCCTTTCCTACTCAACACAGCTCTTACTATCTGAATGCTTCTGCCAGAGCTGTGTAAGATACAGCCTTGTCCTTTAGATGCTTACAATCAAAAAGAAGAATAAGCGTATATTAAATAAGGCTGAGAAAAGAATGGGAAAAAAATACTAGCAAGTCATGTATCAGATAAGGGATTAGCACCCAGAATCAAGAACTCTTATAGCTCAACACCAAAAAGACAAAACCCCAATTTAAAAATGGGTAAAGAACTTAAAAAGACATTTTTCCAAAGAATACATAAAAATGGCCAACAAGCACTGCTGCATGAATAATACCATTAGTCATTAGGGAAATGCAAATCAAAACGACAATGAGATTCTACCTCCTACCCACCCACTAGGATGGTTACAATAATAAGGGCAACAACAGAAAATATCAACTGTTGGGAAGAACACGGAAAAGCTGGAACCCTTAAACACTGCTGATAAGATTGTAAAATGGGGGGAAGCCACTGTGGACAACAGTTTGGGAATTCCACAAAACGTTTTAATGCATAATTACCATATGACCTAGCAATTCCACAACTAGATGTGCACCTAAAAATGGAAAACAGGTATTCAAATAAATATACATGGATGTTCACAACAGTCCTAGTCACAATATCCAAATATGACAATACAGAAAACGTTTATTAGCGGGTAAGTGAATAAACACAATGTGGTACATATAGTTATACATAAAAATGGACTGAGGTACTGATACAGAGGTACATGAACTTTAAAATCATGGCAAGTGAAAGAAGCCAGACACAAAGGGCCATATACTGTACAGTACAGTTGCACTTACACAAAATATTCAGAGGTAATATAGGAAAACCCATATACAGAAGGCAGATTAGTGATCACCAGAGGACAGATGAAGGACGGAAGAGCAAGTGATTGCACAAACCTAGGGGTTGATAAAAATGTTTTGGAATTGTATAAAGATGATGGTTGCACAACGCTGATAATGTACTAAATGCCAGTGAAGTGAACACTTCAAAACTGTTAATTTCGTGTTATACGAATTTCATCTCAACTAAGAAAATGAGGCTATGATAATCATAACCAGAAAAATAAAATCAAAATATTAAGAAAATTCAGTGGTGGGAAATATGATTTTGTGGGACATGGAGAGATTCCAAGGAGGTTGGAGTACAAATAATACCATTTAGCAAATATGTCAATTGCTTCTTTACAAAAAAAGCTGGACAGAGACAAACAGGCAATTACAAGAGAACGTAGTGACACAATCCTGTGATAGAAAGGCAGAGAGTTCTAAGGCTGGGGAAATCATGTAATTTATCATCCAAACCAGAACACTGGAGTGAAAGGGACTCCCGGGGTACCTATGCCAGAGGGCAGACCTATAAGCCCAGCACCCTCTGCAAATTCAAGCCCAGTTCAAGCAATTTAGGGAGACCCTGTCTCAAAATAAAAAATACCGAAAAGGGCTGGCCCTGCAGCTCACTGTGAAGGCCCTGGATTTAATCCCCAATACTGAAGAAAAAATAAAAGAATAGGGAAGAGTTCCTGGAAAGCAGAGCAGCCCGGAATTCACTAAGTGAAGCAGTGTTCCAAGCCAAGAGGGTATTATGTGCAAAGGCCTTGTGAGAAGCTGCAGGCATGCAAGGTAGAACGTGCATGGAGAAGCTGAGGAGTTAGCAGCTGAGGCAGGAGCTCAAGGCCAGCCTGGGGAACTTAGTGAGACCTTTCTCAAAATGAAAAGGCCCGGATATATAGCTGTGTGAAGGCCCTGGGGTCAACTCAGTACTACAAAAAAAAAAAAAAAAAAGCATACTTGGGAGTAATGAGCAACTGCACAATTCTTAAAGCCAAGGAAAGGGTGAGACAACCTCAGGACAATGCAGAAAGACCCATGTGTGCACTGCTGGAGGGAAGTCTGCCCATACTGACTTTCATGCTCCATGAAGTATTAATCTTGAATGCAGAAGCAACCAACTAAAGATTCAGTCATCAATTATGTGGAGTGCACAGCAACTATGCTTCAAGCTACCATTTGGTGTTTTGAGTAAATCTTACTGCCAGGTGTGGTGACATGCCTGTAACCCCAGCACTAGGGAGGCTAAGGCCGGAGGATCAAGACCAGCCTGGGCTACAAAGTGAGCTCAAGGCCAGCCTGAACTGCACAGCTGAGACCCTGTCTCAAAAAAAGACTAAATAAATAAATCTTATCGTGATCTTGAAACAAGTGTAAAATGTGAAGTAAGAAAGTAACGTTCTTGCTGAGTGTGGTGGCCCACGCCTGTAATCTCAGCACTCGGGAGGCTAAGGCAGAAGAATCACCGTGAGTTCGAGACCAGCCTGGGCTACAAAGTGAGCTCAAAGCCAGCTTGAACTGCATAGTGAGACCTTGTCTCAAAAAGACAGACAGACAGACAGACAGAAAGAAAGAAAGAAAGAAGGAAAGAAAGAAAAAAAGAAAGAAGAAACAAAGACGGAGAGATTCTTTTGTTACACAGCTACATGTTGTAGCAATATACGTAAGGTGTGATGAAGTGTTTGATGCATAGATTGATTTTTTTTTTGGTCTTTTTTGAGACAGACTTTTGCTATGCACTTCAGGCTGGCCTTGAACTTACTTTGTAGCCCAGGCTGGCCTCGAACTCACCGCGATTCTCCTGCTTCTCCTGCTTCAGCCTCCCGAGTGCTGAGATTACAGATGTGCACCACTGCACCTGGCTTGGTGCGTAGACTTTTACCTGATATCCCCTATAGTTTAATGAATGAATATTCAAAACAATTTATATAAAGTACCATAAGACCCCTGTATGCACAACTTAAATTACAATAAGAGGCTCACTTTGCAAAAAAGCACATGCAAAAAACATTCTACCTAGTAATGCATCTGAAACACTAATGGCATTTGAATTGGGAAAGACTGCGTCACTTCTTAGGAGATTGGGCAGATTTAGCTACCCTCGTGTAACATACTCCAGGACCACTGACTGTTGTGTATTGTCCTATTGATAAAAATCAGTAACTGGACCCAGTAATACTGAGAAGTCTTTATCACTGGAACATCGATTTGATGCTCCTTTAAGTATGTCCACTATGTGCAGACATTGTGTTGACTGCTAATATATAAAATTAAGTAGGGTCTGTTCAAGGTGACCAGTCAACATGGAAACCAATTTCCCAGAATCCAATACACCTTCCTTTTGCAAAGCACACACTGGGGTCAACAATAATTCCTGCGCAAGTCTGGCTCATTATTACATTGAACAGGTTTTCTCCGACATTCATAGGCACAGGCCAATAGAGTTAATTATTTTACAGGTAATTTTCAAAGCAACATGACAAGTTCTGTCCTTACTAAGAAATCAACAGCCATTTTTAAGACTGCTTCTTAGCATATGTGGTGGTGTACGCCCATAACCCCAGCACTCAGGGGAGGCTGAGGCAGGAGGATGCAGGAGTTCCAGGCCAGCCTGGGCTAGGTAATAAATTCAAGGTCAGCCTAGACTACAGCAAGACCTTGTCTTAAAACAAAAAAGCCTCTTACCTTACAACTACTCATCTATTCATGTACGTGTCTGCTGGGACACTCATACGCCTAGCTCACAAGGCCGATGTCTCTGGTCTTTTAAGCATCGTACTCCTCTCCCCACCTCCAGTCCTTACCTGATTGCCCAGCACGGCGGTGGCACAGGCTGTGGACACCTCCTTGGGCCCAAACCACACCGAGGCGATGCGGGAGGGCAAGCCCAGGATGAAGACCTGGGCCACAGAGCACAGGCACTGGCCCAGCATGGTGACCCAGAAGAGGTGCTGCTGCACGCTGCTGCACTTGACCCAGGCGCCCAGGCAGTTGAGGCCGGAGCCCAGCAGGGCGGTGAGGCGCAGGCCCCGCGTGTCCAGCAGCCAGGTGGCCGGGAAGATGAGCGGCACGTAGGCCAGCATGTACACCATGGACAGCCAGTCGATGTGCAGCAGCGACACGCGGTAGAAGCCCTCGAACACGTTGCTGATGATGCTGTACTGGATCCACTGGAAGGCGTTCACCAGCGAGTACAGGCAGAAGATGAGCAGCACCGCAAAGCGGCGCGGCGACAGCGCGGTCCGGGCCGGCTCCGCGCCCTCGCCCGCCAAGGTCCCCG